ATCCTCTGCTGCTCCTGTTTTGCAGATGGAAGAGATTAGATTCAAAAGGGTTAGTCAGCATCTATCCTTCAAGGACACTTAGGACATGCACCAGGGAATTGGATCCTGCTTTCCCACTTGATGCGCTACACTAGGTCCCCAGTATTTCTAGACAGAGTAGTACTGGATTTTTCCAACTCATGAGCCTCCTGACAAGCATATAGTGGAAATGGGGGTGTGGGTATTGGTCAAGTGGTCTGGAGGCTCACCAGGTCCCCTGCACAGCTGGGTGGATCTGGTCCTAAAGAGCAAAATGCTCCAAGGAGGCAGCTCTAGGAGCAGCAGCAGCATGAATCTGGTAACAAGAAGGTAAGACTACCTCAGGAGGAAATGACTCTGCCAGGCAAAGTCTGGGATTTGCAGAGTTTATGATGCATATGGAATGGGGTTTCAAGGCTTGGACATCATGTTTCCTTGAGCGAACACTGAATACTACTTTATGGCAGGTAGGGGACATAAACCTGAAGCTTTAGTATCTGCTGTGTATCAGTCCTGGAACACAGAGCCCAGCAAGGAGATGGAAGTGCACACCAAGAAGCAGACAACCTGATAGAGAAATTCAGGATAAAAGGGACACAAAACCACACTGGTGTTAAACTGTATGTGTTAGTGCTAAGCAACTATTGGAATGTCAAGAGCTTTGTGGGTTAGGTTTAGGGTTAATATGAAAAGCTACTTTGAAAAAATGATTTATTGAAGAGCACATGGACTTTTTCAAGTCATAAAAATGGCTCATTTATCCCGTTATATTTATTGGACATCTGCTCTAGTCCAGGCATGGTTAGTACAGAAGGAAATGGACTCAGTATCTGCTTCTGCAGCACTCACAGTCTAGCAGCATCCATATATTTTATACAATTATATCCTCAGGAACTGTAACAAGCAAAAGAACAGGGAGCTATGCAAGAGAAGAACATGAGGACCTTAATTAAAACTCAAATCGAGGTGGCCTCTACGAGGGGTAACTCAGACATGAGTGAGGTGTAGAACAGGGAAGGAAGAACATTTCTGACAGAGAGCAGCAAGTGGAAAAGTTCTGAGCAGGATAAAGTTGGTTGCTTTGAAGAACTGGAGAAGAATGATATGGCTTAAGAAAGAATTCAAGCTGGCATGGAGACACGTGCTTATATCCTTGTACTCTGGGAGGCTGCGGCAGCCCAGCCTGGGAGAATTCAGAAACTTAGTGACTTAGTGAGACCATCCTGTCTTAAAAAAAATCTGAATGGGAAGAGATTTTAGAATTTTATCTCCACTGTGATAGAAAACCACTAAAAAGCTTAAGCAAGACAGTGATAGCATCTGTGTTTTGAATATCACTCTGTCTGCTACATGGGTAACAAGCAGAGGGAGGGCAAAAAGGTGATGAGTTCAGTTAGAAAGTCCACGCAGGAGTGGGTGTTAGATGGAGCCACGTCCCAGGATGTAATAGTGATGATGGGAGCTGGTGGCTGGGTTACAGACACGTCCCACAGATGGGATCTGTAGGGTTTGCTGATGGATTGGACATGTGGGGAAGAATCTAGGGTGTCACTCAGCTGTTTCACCTTGAGTAGTTTAGGGAGTGGAAGTGTTTTCTACTTGGAAAGAATGGTGAAGGTCGAGATTCTAAATGGTAGCTACAGTAGAGATCAAGAATTGAGGTGTGGGTGACTTCAGTTTGGGATGTCCTTCTAACAGCCAAATGGAAACTGCACAGACACACATACCTGGACTAGAGTTTGCGGCCTATCCCCTGCTACAAGTGTCCTCTAACTACTATCGTATATGACACCACCCAGAGAGAGCACAAAATGAGAAGGGAAATATTCTGGTGAGCTGTAGTAAGACAGATACAGAATAGCTGGGAAAATAGAATGGAAACTAAAAGATGGGGATGATTGAAGACATGAGGAAGCTGTAAACCACATGGACTGTTCCTGAAAAGGTTAGTGTCTTTCAAGTGTCTGCTGGATTCAGCAACAGGGAGATCACAAACGGCTGCCAGAGCAATTTCCACGTGGATAGAAACCAGCATGGATTAAAGTGAACAGGCCGCAGAGGTGGGTGGACAGAACCAAACTCCCAATAACCCTGGCTCTGGAGTAGTAGAGATAGGTACACACTGCCTCCTGAAGCAGAGGAGTGAGCTGTTACCTAAAATTTCTCCCAATTGGCAAGTGAGATGGCTTGCATATCATCAGCCCTGGGCTCCCGGAGGAGAGTTCACATAAGGCACATAGAAGGACCTTTAGCTACTGCTAGCTTTCCCCAACATCAGCTGCAGTTCATTCATCTCTGGCACAAGAGCCCCATTCCCCGCTCAAACCTCACCTAGGAAAGAAACTTACTTCTTGGGCGCTTACTCCAACATTCAAAGCTTTCTATCATAAAAGTTTTCTGTCTCTGTCAGAAAGCCCTTGTACACTGAAATGGCAGGAAGAAGGCACAGTGAACCCCTAGATACACCCTGTCTGGTCATGACCTGAAATTAACATTCTCTTTCCTAGACTATGGCCCTGGGCCCTCAACCTATCTTTCAGACCTCACTAATTGTTCCCCTTGAGCACGCCACTGCAGCCAAGTTATGCTGTCTTAAAATGTGTCCTGTTTCCAATCACTTGCTGTCTTTTTCCTTTAGAATTAGTCCCCCTCCTTGCCTCACTGGATGGATGTTCTCTGCTCCTCAGAGTCCAGCTATAATCTTTTCACCTCTAGAAAAGCCCATCTGGTTCCCCTCGTCCCTCAGGCATTTCCCATAAACTGCCAGGGTCCATTGGTTTTTTCCCTGCATGGGAGGGATCAGTGAGGCTGTTATTCCTATTCCGTTGCTTTCTTTGTGGCCTATACATCAGAGGCACTCGGCAGATATGTGTTTGTTGGTGAGATGATTGAGAAAAAGCTAGTGACCTTTTCTTCTCAAAGGGCGAAGACTTGTAACACTTGGTTCAAGGCTGCATTAGGATTCCCCAGGTCCCAGAAGGATTCACCAGTGTGGCTTCTATAAAGTCAGTTGAGGAAGTGCCAGGCTACTTGAGTTCAAGTTCAAACTGAGTTGCCACGGCCATCAATTACTTCCAATGCTCAAAAGAGAAGCCTAACCCTTCTTGGAAATATTTAACACTTATACCACGAAAGTATTTTCTTTTAACCCTGTGAGTTGAGGTTTCCAGTCATTTTAAACTATCAATCTCCTGTGGCCCAGCCCTTTTGAAAATACTGGAAAAGTGCCTTTCTGAACCAAACTCCTTTACCACCTCATGCTTCATATCACAGCAAAAGAGTAAATATTCAGCCTGCAGTGTTTGTCCAAACTCAAGGTAAAGTGGACATAATAATCAACAGATCGCAGCAACTTTCATGCAACATGAGTCCACATTAAAAAGTAGATGCTGTTCATAAACATTTTGTGGAAATTGGTTCAATAAAACCTGGGCTCTGAACTGACATTAAACACAGAGCAATTATTGCAACCCCAAAGAGACAGGTAGACTCTGGATACAGATCTATACCAATACAGTTTATGATTTCTTTGAGACTATTTTTGTTCCGCTTGCACCAACCACATGAAAAATCAGGAATCTTAAAATGTCAAAAGTAGCAGTTAAAAAACAAAAACAACAACAAAGTAAATGATGAAAAATCGCTTTCCAAATCCCAATACAAGAACTCAGAGGGAAAGAGTCAGGGAATAAGTTGATTCATGCCCACAAAAATTGATTCCAATGTGGACACGACTGTCTCTAGACTCAAGGAAGTTCTATCACCACTTGTGTTTGTATCTTGACTTCACTTCTCTGAAACAGACTAGACACGCAATGTCCTTCAGAAAGAACTCCTTATCTATACATTGGCTTTTGACTTACTGGCTTATAAAAGATTTGAAACCACAGAGAGCCCCCGCGCATCTTTGAGAAAAGTGAGGCTGCTTCTGTTCAGTCCTGCTTATGTTTTTGTTTTTGGCTGTCAACTTTTTTTGATACCTAGAACCAAACCTAGGGCCTTGCACTTGCCAGGCAAATGCTGTGCCGCTGAGCTACAACTCTGGCTTGGCCTCCCTTCCCAGGAGCTTCGGGCTATCAGTGAAAGAGGTCCCCCAGTTTAGTTACTCACTCCCACCTTGGTGGTGGTGAGGATCCCTTGGTCTGTGACTTTCTCTGATTTGGCCAGAAAAAACAAGTTTTGAAAACTAAAAACAGTTTAAGAACATGTGTTGAGCTATAATCATCCTTTGGAGGATTTTTTTTTTGGAGGGTGGGTACCCAGGATCGAACTCACAACCTCACGCTTATCAAGCATGCACTTATGTCGCTGAGCTAAATTCCCGGCAATCTTTTAAAACGACATGATTCACTCAAAATAATACGCCCCACTCCATTTCTCACATTTAACTGTCTTCCAAAAAGACAAGCACACAGTGTGCAGAGATACTGCAAACAGGGGATTCATGTTTTTTCACTAGGAATGGGCTTTCTCCTGCAGTTTTTATGCTCCAAGAGAAAAGTGCAAATTCTAGGTGGAAAAAGGAAACAAAACGAGCTGTCAAAATTCCTTTTAGCACCTATGACTGGTGTTAACTTCCATGCTCCCAGAGTGCAATAAAAAGCCTGCAAATTGCTGCTGAAAAGATGATTTGACCTTTTAAAATGAGAACTCCACCACCTCCTATCTGTATTAAACAGGTAAACCTTGGGTGATCTAGTTTTACATTAAGAGATTAAATGAGGGTGGCTCTCCAGAAAAAGGTTTCCCTACAGACTGCTGGCTAATTATGGTGTTCTAGACCTACATTGTAACAGCGGGTAGAATGTAGGCCCCAAACCTTTTAACCATTGTAGTTACTCACTGCTCAGTCTAGTTCTAAAAGGTGGCCACAGAGTTATGGAAATTTAGTTTTAAAATAAAAGTCTTAGACACAACCGCCTATAAGCCTGCACAACCAGGGCAGGCTGTCGGCCTCTGGTGGCCGAGGAGCCACGGTGATCTTGGGTCTCCGCAGCAGCCAAAATCCGAGCGCACCGAGCGGCGCTGCTGAAAGAAGTTGGAGAGCTCCCAGCTTGACAAGAATTTGCGGTGGGCGCCAGAGAATTCCTTCCCGCGCAGCAATTAGGAAAAGTTTTGAAAAGTAAAGACCCTGCACAGATAAATGGGACTCATCCTTTTCCCGGAGTAAGAATCACCCCGCGCTGCGCTGGACGGCTGCGCACACAAGGCCATCCGCCTCGCTTGGCCGGGACGCGCCCGGTGTCTTCCAGCTCCCCACCACCCCAGTGCGCGGCCTCAGGGCACGGAGCCAGCCAGACAGCCCAGTTGGGATACCTGGTCCACAGGAAGATGCCTCCCGGCTCCCTGGCTTGGGGGACAAGGTCAGAACCATCAACTCCTCCGAAGCCTCGGACCTTCTCTTCCAAGCTGGCCCGGGTTTCTCCAAAAGGCGCGCGGCACGGCCCATGCGCCCCCCGCGCTAGACGACACTCCTCTCTCTACGCTTTCCCCCAAACTCTTCCGGGGAGCCCCCCAAACACATAGAGCCCCGAAAACTCCCAGGGCATCCGCCAGTCACCCCTACCCCTGCCTCTCCAACCCTCCTTGTCGCGTTCTTCCCGCCCCGCAAGGCTCTCCTCACGTTTCTGAGGAGTCAGAAGCAAACCACGAGAAAAATGCCTTCGCAAGGAGCCTCCCTACACCCGCCCTGTCCCTGAAACAAAAGCGCAGGGAGGAGGGAGGTAGGTGGGGAGGCGGAAGGAAGGTTTAGAAAGAGAAGAGAATGGGGACCGCGGCGAGAAGGAGCTGGGGAGGGGGTCGGGTGGAGAGAGGAGACGGGGCCAGGACCCCGCTCCCAGGTCGCTTACATGCCCAGGTCGCTGTAGGTGTTGAAGAACTCCATCTGGTTGCACGCCTGGATCCAGCCCACGACCCAGGTCTCGTGGCGGGGGATGGGGGGCATGACCACGCGGGCCGAGGCTTTGAAGTAGGGGGTCTTGTAGCGCAGGACGATGGGCGAGGTCTCCTCGATGCGCGTGGGGCACTGGTCGATGGTGGCGCACACATCGTACACCACGATGTTCTCGCGCCGGATCCGCGCCTTGCAGGTGATGCTTTGGATACAGCCCATCCTGCAGCCCGGCGCCGGCGCGGCGCGGCGTGGGGCAGCGCGGGGACCCGCGCGGGCAGCCGGGGGCGCCCGTCACGCCGGCATGGCGACGCGCGCCGCTCGCTCCCGGGGCTCAGCTCGCGCCTTGGAGCCGCGAGCAGCCGCCGCCGGGCATCCTCGGGGGAAGCCCCCTCCTCCCGCCGCCCACGCCGCGCGGGGTCCCGGCCGCCCCGCCGCACGCCCCCGCCCGCCCCCGCGCTCCAGCAGGGCGAGCCGAGCGTGCGCTCCTAGCAGGCGGCGGGCACCCTCGCTGGCTCCAGAGCTCGGGCGGAGGGCAGGGAGGGGAGCGGCAATGCGAGCACGGGTGCCCACCCCGGGCCGGAGCCCCCCGCCCCTCGCCGGAGAGGAGGAGGCGGCGGCGGCATGGAGCCGGGGGAGGGCGGCGGCGGCGGCGGCGGCGCCCGCTCTGTCTGCCTCCGCCGCCGCCCGCCGCCGCTGCATGAACCTCTGCACCGCGGCTGCCCCCCGCGAGCGGCGCACCCAACGGCGGGCGAGCGGGCGGCGGCGGAGAACGAGCTCCCGCCGGCCCCGCCCCTCAGCCGGACCTCGCGGACGATCCTTGGCCGGGCTACCCCGGCCTGCAGGGCGCTGGGGGGCGCTGAGGGGCGTTGGCCCGGGGCAGAGGGCTCCGGGGGCTGGGGCTCCCCGGGACGCGCGCCGCGCAAGACACCGGCTGAACGCCATGAGTTTTGTCCCTTTCCGGCTGCCGTCCGGGTGGGGGGGGCGGTGTGTAAGGGTGGGGGTGTTTAAAGGGCCGTTAGCTGCAGGGTGCCGCCGACACGTGGGGGCGAGGCGGGGCCTCGGGAGGTGGTGCCCTGGGCTGGGAGTGTAAGTGGGGTGCGCGCCAGGACCCTGGGATTGGGGCGGGTGGGGAGGAGAGGCGCGGAGCTCTGCAGAGTGATGGGAATGTACAGTCTAGAAGGGGATGTCGGGCGCCCGAGTAGTTGCTCAGAATGCTGCTCCTCGGTCTAGAGTTGGACTTGAGCTCCCTTGGTGCCCGGCCGTGGGGAAGGCTGGAGTGCGGGCCACGCAGCAGCACGGAGCCGTGGATTTACCTCTTCCCTCACTGGCTGCGCTCTGGGAGCTTTCATATCTAACCCTGTGACTAGAGTATCTCCAAAACCGTAGTTTCTCAACACGACAGCCTCCTAAATGCCAGAGTTTTGTTTGAGGCACGACCTCAGCTTTTGCTCACGGCATGTCCTTATCCAAATCCTTTGCTCCTTAGAAACGCACTCTTTCAACAAAACATGTACTGATAAAACTATTATTTTTTTTAAATTAAAAAAGTTTAAAAGCACTGCATTTCAAATGTCTGCATTTGAAAGATTGTACCTCCTGGGATCATCTACTGGGTTTGAATGCTTAGCAGCCTTCTTAAGGTTAACCAAAACCTGCTAGACACAAGAACTTGGGAACGTTTTTTGGAACCAGGTAGGGTTAAAAAGGAAGTGTTCAGTAATAAGAGTTCAGAATACCATTTGTGGCAATCCATTTACCTCTCAGAAAGCCTGAACTCTTAGGGATCCAATTTTCGCTTTGTTTCTCCATAATGCTGCAAAGCAATGGCACATAGGGACTAGTCAACAGTTGTCTGTGAATGAATGAACTCAGGAATGATCAAACAAAGAGCACCTTGGCTGCAATTGCCCCATAAAACTGCCACCAAAATACTGGATATTCATTGTGTACGGTATGACCACTGTTATGTGTCTGTTATTGCTGTCTGATGTGCCAAACAGGATGCACATTTAAGCGATGCTCTAATTGGGCAGCTTCTTACATTTTTAAGGCCAATAGCTTCTTTGTGTTTCTTTCATGGTTATTGAACATTTTGTGGACCTGAGACCTCAGTGTGAAATACTCTTAACAGAGTGCAGGAGGCTGCTAGACTTAGTCTTTAGCTGGGACAGATGTGATGAGTAATTTAAAAATTGGTTGAGATCTAAAAGGACTTTTCATCCTTGTTTTAACTTTTCTGACACTTTGGTTCACTTTATAGTTAACAAGAAAGCAAGTTTCCCTTTTGATGCATGCTTCTCATTTTATCATGTAGCCACAGACCTCAATCACTGGTCCTTTCATTCAGTGAACACTGCCTACCTGGCAGGAGCCAACCATTGTACTAGGTTCTAGGGGTTCAAAGCTGAGAAAGAGCTCGTGGATCGCTGGAGAAGATAAATCTGCTAACAAGTTGTTACAGTCGACTGTAGCATGTGTATCCAGTGCCTGGAAGGCTAGACAAGGGAGAAGCAGAGATTTGCCTGCGGCTCCACTGCAGTAGTGACATTTGAGTTAGAGGACTGCCAAGAAGAGAAGGGTGAAAGGGCAAGGTAGAATGAGAGTTTGGCAAATGCAAAATGCTTTGAGGTATAAGTCAAAGCATTTCAGAAAGCATTATATGGGTCATACATATGGGTATCGGAATCACTCTGCAACAGCTAGTTTTTGGTAGGCCCAGAGCTTGATCTTCAGTGAAAGCCAATGAACTCAAGATTTGTATTCAGAGTAACAGCACTCTGTGTCAGTGCAGTGAACAGAAAAGGTAGGATTTTAGGATCTTGCACGGATGATTTGTCCTTGGACTAGGGTAATGCTGTGGGACTGGAGGCTTGGCTACATTTGAGAGTCATTTAAGAGGTAAATTTGATTTACTTGGTAACTAATTAGATGTCGGAGGAAGGTCTGAGCTGGTTCTGAGTTTTCCAGCTTCGGTGATCAAATATATGTGGGCAGAAGGAGATAGAAATAGAAACAGGTTGAGTTCCTGGGTAAAATGTTAAGTTTGAGGTAGAGGAGGGGTCAGAGTTTGAATCTGAGAGATTATGTTTCCAGGAAACAGAACAAAACAAAACCATTCAGTTGGGGAATTAGATTATCTTTTTAATTCAAGTTATTAGGGAGCAGTTTTGTGGATAACTATCTCCTTTGTCTTCTGGTGGCACATGCTAAGCTTTCATAAACAAAACAAGGAATTATAGCTTTCTCCAAGTTATAGAAAGGTTGTATAAGGAACAGTATATCTTATTTTTTTGAAACTTCAAGTAAGACTTTTTTTTTATATATCCAGTAGAAGGCCAATAAAATATAATTCATGACCCACAGTTTTGGGCCCTTGACATTCTCAAAGGCTTCATCTGTGACCTTGGTGAGTCTCCAAATTCATGAATGTCACCATGGTGTATAATTTCATCCATAAAATACAATAAAGCGAAACTGAAAAATGTAAGGAGTCCTTTTAGACTCTTAATGCTTCTATAAGTATGAGTCCAAGGTAATTTCTAAAGGTATTTAAATAAATTTTGCCATTAAAATAAACTCCTTACTTCATTACCCTGTATCTTTATCTTATTAACTCCATCTTTCGCTGACTCTGCAAAGAAAGAAAAGTTACCTACGGTGTGAGAATAACTGTTTAGATGTCAGAGAGAAGAGCTAAGCTGTGCAGGAACAACAAATGCCAGGTGCTGGGTGTGCTCCCCTCACTGGCTATGTGGCTCTCAAGTGCTCTCTGGCCTCTGTGTGGCCTATTCAGATTTGTGTCTTAGGAAATAATGGGGACCTTCAGGTCATTCATTGGAGACGATTATCATTCCTAAATATCCGGCTGGTACGTGTGGATAACATATATCTGAGATACAACATTGCTGCGTTATATCTCAGATGAAGTTCTCAGAAGTACAAGAGCTTCTTGTGTAGCTCTTCTTTTTCTTTTTTTCCTTCTTTCCTTCCTTTCTGGACTAAGAATGGGATCTAGGGCCTCATGCATGCTGGGAAAGCACTGTTTGGTGGAGCCATGCCCTCAAATCCTTTAAATTTCTGTCTCATCATCATGAGTCTTTGTTGCCTCTAGTAGTATTACATACCTGCCTCTGCCAGCACCTTCCATGCTGTCCCACCATTGTTTGCTGATGTTGATCTCCTCGGGAATGTGAAGTCATGCCCTGGTGCCCAGTCTAGTGCCTGGCCTTGACGAACTGCTCCATAAACATTGGATTAACTAAAAGTAGTCTCAGAAATCTGAAAGAACTTCATTCCCCCATGCCTTCCCTATAAGCTCTGTAAGTGGTTTCATTACCTACAATAAGCAAGTGTTTTTATCCCAGCTCCTCTGTACTATATCGTTTTGCCCTCTCTTTCTGTAGTGTGCTTCCCCAATGTTAAATGATGCCATTGGTCTTTGAGTACTATGAGCAATCTGAAGAACTATAAGTTTTAGGTACCAAGAATTGGAAAAACTCCCATGACAAGACCTTGATGACAGTCATTCTGTATGAATAACTTCACTGGAGTTTATTCACAGGGTACAGGACAAATGCTCCTTTGTATTTTGAGCTTTTGATGTTCTTGGGCATGAGAGAGCTCTTTAGTTCCCCTAGCTGGGGCCCTACAGCAGACTGTCCAGGATACTGGCCCTGGCACCTCTGTCACGATCCACTCCCTCAGCTACAGTGACCTGCACTCTGTCCTTTCAGAAGACAGTAATCTCTGACTTTATTTTTCCTATTGATTGACTCATTACTCAATCTGTCAAGCGTTCTTTTTAGAAACGCTGGGTTACAAAGGCCTATTTTCTTGTTGACCTTGGCAAGGAATTTCAGAAAGCATAGAACACACTGTGAAAAGCTTGAGGAACTGCCTGTGAAACTTAAAAAACAGAGATGGATTTTGATCTGAGTTAGATGACCTGAAGACAGGCAGGAGGTGAAATGATTCTTCAAGTTCTAAGAGTGTAAAATGAAGGACACACTGCTTTTCAGCTGGGAATTCCACTGATCGCCATGACTTCTTTTCCAGGCTAAGGGACTCAGCGTGATGTGGACCATGGCAATGAACTGTGGCTGCTTTGCCAAAGTCACTTAGCTCAACATGTGTGAGCTGCTTCACATGACCAATATCGAGTCTTGTATTAGACTATGGAAACTGCAAAAGTGAACACACTAGTTCCTCAGATGTCCTGTTAGAGGCTCCTGTTTCTGTCTCTGCTACTTTCAAGGTCATTTACTGTCT